GTCCTAGAAATGGGTTTAAATTGGGGAAACAACATATCGTACGAAAATCTATCACCGGAAGTCTGGCCATCTTGATGCAACAACACGGTGTTGTTGCATCACGATACTCCCCAGTGATAATAGTTTAGTTCATAAAGACTGACAAGGGAAAGGATCAATATAAATTATGTAGCCAGATAAGATCTATAGCCACATAAGGGGAGGCATCAAAAACTAAATAAATCTAGTTAGGGGGAGGGGGGGTTCAAAGCCATTTCAGTTTGCTATTCGACAAATTTCATTATTTCAATTTTTTGCTATTTTGACTTAAAATGCCTTAGATGGTTTAAAAATAATTTACCTGATGCTTTCTTCATCAAGATCATTCCAATGAATACTATTCTATCAATAGTTGTTAAAAGCCGCAAATTATGCTAGGAATTAACAAAAATAGATCAATTCTCAAACGGGAAGTCTGCAATCAACTTTCATGGTATTTAGTTTTGGGGGGAGGGGGTCAAACTCAGAACTAGATTTCTTAGGTTTCTGATCCAACATTGAGCTTTTGATGCCTCCCCTAAGTCATTTATGAATAAAAGTGAAAATCAATCTCTTAACATTTTTTTGTGTAAAACATTTTCTTTTGAAAATGTAATTTTTAGAAATGATGAATATGAGAATATTGGAATTTCTAATCAATGTAATGGAACCAAGTCAAATCTCAATCTACTTAACACAAATGTGGGGGGGGGTGAAGCATGCAGGCAGTATTGATAAACCATCCTTTTCATCAAATTGATTTTAGAGTTTTTTGGTTTAGCTCTCTATTCCTGATATTTCTTATCCCAAATATGATTTATTTGGATATTTATACAAGATTGATACTTGAGAAATTGCAATAGATAACAAACGCATAGGGGTATTAGAATGATATATTATCAGATCATACTATCCTCATTGGGAATTTCTTTGATTTTCATGTTGATTAATGTTGAGTCCATATAGAATAAGATTCAATTGATTTTTTTCTTTAGAGTAACCTCCTTATCATGTTTTATTCATTAAAACTACAAATACGGAATACTGCATGCCTGTAGCCAGAATGTTTCAAGTTGGGTTTAGCTTTTTGCAAAGGGGTATGTGATTTTAGATGGTCATATCTTTCACCGTTGGTACGTTCTGGTCATCATTGCAGTGTTTTTTATCAAAACAATATGTTTTCTTTCAAGTGAAGTCCCCATGAAAGTATAAAATACCAATCTAACTCTCTGAAAAATCATGGATTAGGACCCCACCTTGTCATTTTTAAAAAAATGTAAGGCTCATTTTCTAAAAAGAGGATCTTGATTTTCTCAATTTAAACATATCGAAAGTTTTGTTCTACACTATATTAACAATTTCTGAAAAGGAGATGCGTATTGAAATCCTTTAAAGTTGAAAACCACATATCACATGTTATTTTCCCATAGGGAATACTTGTGCTATTCATTGTTTTCAGCATAATTTTGGTCATCGAATATAGATATCTTCAAAACTAGACTTTCAATACTATTCTACTCTTGAAGAAGTTTTAGACCCCTTGTTGAATAATCTTTTTTCATGCAATAAAAACCAGAAAAAGAAGATCCTCTTTTGAGTAAATACAGGGTGAGCCAAAAAGGTAACCCAACCAAATGTATGTTAATAACTCAGTCATTCAGCATGGGTTTAAATCATATTTGGCACAATTAAACCTTGTTCAATGTTATTCCATTCTACTAAGTGTCATTGATCTATCCCTAATAGCCACAACTTTATGGCCATTTATAAAACATACTCAAAATGCTGAAATGTGCCTCACTGACTAGACATAGATCCCACCAGATTTTTATCTGTAGGCCTATTTTCTACAGTAACAACCCTTTAAACATTGAAACAAGAGATAAGAAGGAAGATGAGAGCCATAACACAAGACGTTTATTTTTGTATTGTGAACAACTACGTCCGATACGTTCAAGTTGGCCTCCAGACATGACGCCCAATTTTTATGGCATGTTTTGTAAAATGACCATAACATCGTGACCACTAGAGATAAACCACTGAAACTTGGTAGAATGACAATATATTGGACAAGGCTTAATTGTGCCAAATATGACACTAAACCCATGTAGGATGACTGAGTAATTAAGATTTGTTAGGGTTACCTTTTTTGGCTCACCCTGTAGGTTCAACATTTTGAAAAAATATCGACATGGGGTCCCTATTCATAATTTTTAGATTGATATTTTTATCAACATGAGTACTTCATTTGAAAGAAAACATATTGTTTTAATAAAAACCACTGTATTTATGCCCAGAAAGTATTCATGGTTAAAGGTATGACTGTCTAAAACCACTTGCCATACTGCACATAGACCTTTCATTTTAAACCACTAAATTAAATTGCACCACATGCTCCGTATTTGCTTCGACAACCCCCCCCCCACTTCAACTCAATAATAAAAGTGAGTAAGATACAATTTTTCAATGTTTGTAGTTGCCTCATAATTTACCTCACTTATACTTATTATTAGTGCCACAGCCATCCAAGTCATACTCATCATAAGAAATAATCAAATCACTTTCAAACAATAACTTATACTTATTGCACCAATCTAAATAAAGTGGTGCAGTGACTTGATCAAAACTGTAAAGGATCTTACCCGGCAAGATCGTAGGATTACTTGTAGATAAATTGTCAATCAATTTGAAGGCAAATGAACTTATAAACTATAATTTGCTACTGTATGAGATATTATGGTGTAATACTCCACGAATCGAAATGATCTGAAATAGTTCTTTAGTTGCTTGCTGAAATTGGTAATAAAGTTTAATTTATTTCAACTCCACATACCCTGTTATTGCGTTGCTATGGTAACCAGATGCCTATGCTAATATATGATATCATGGTTTATCTTTACACAAAATGAAACTACTATATATTGGGTGGTTAGAGTAAACAATGCAGAACTTTTGAAACAACCCTTGTAGGTATCTGAATACAGTAAAACCTGTCTTAGTGAACACCTCTTTTCAGTACATATGCCTCTGAGTTTGTATAAAATTGTCTCTGTAGTTCTGTAGTAAACACCTACCTATAGTGAACACATTTGTGTGGCTCTATAAGTGTTCACTGTACACAGGTTTTACTGTATATGGCATTAGTGGTTTTGGTTGGGCTAGAATACTATTCAATACAATAATTATGGAGATAACATTACTTAATTTCTTCATTTATAGAATATTTCTAATTGGATTAATGTAAAACTCTATTGGCATGAACAAGATGGTCTTGTTGATACGCTTATTGTGATTTAACATTAACATTACAATCATTTAAAGAGGAACTGAACTGTTTTAACATTATGTCAATGGGAATTTACATTCCTATATTCGAAGCATGTTTTGAAATTCATCTGTTCATGAAGATAAGGCCTTGGTATGATGGGAGGTTTTTCCCACTCAAAATTTGGAGGAACTTTGACGGCCCCTCAAACCCACATTTACTGAGTGCATGCACTGCAAGGTGCTTTCTATATAAATTTATTGTTAGTGCTGTTAAATTTATATTAGAAAGGAGAGGTTTCTTGATTTAGATGATAGGAATCAGTGTTTGTTGAACAAATATTGACTCAAAGGTCAACTGTGTAGATTGTATACTTCCTGAGCACCAGGAAATAAATTTGATATACGCCACTTTTTATTATGATTTATGTTAATTACTGATCCTAAATTTAATTTAAGTTGTTACTTACCTTAAACATTCATTCTATAGCTATTAGAATGATTAAATTTTAAATATTTCCCAATTTTCCAGTCCTTTCATACATATAGATAATATATAAAATGTACATACGAGTACTTATTGAAATGGTATTTGAGATATAGAATTCTCTGATGTGATACTACTGTATATAATATTTATATTTGAAAATGATCCTAAACTAGGTGTGAGATATTACTAATACAGTTTACTGCACTTTAACTTAATCTGGTTGGCGTTTTAATTTGGCAGATCCACCAAATTGTTAAACTCCGCTAAATTAAGTAGCCGCCAAATTCAATATTTCATATTCAGCAAATCCACCAAAATAAGTAGCACCAAATTAAGTAGAAATACAGTAGAACGAACATGTATTAACATATAATCCTATTAGATTTATTGAATTCTTTCATTCAAAAGCAATTTTTAGAATAAATTGTAACTTATACCTGTAAGATCCATAGACTATTCCATCAATACATACACCCAATTGTCAAATGAATGCTCACAAATCATTTTCTACCATATGCAACAAGCTTCAAATCATCTGCTGATTACATCACAATTAGATATCTCAACTGTGTTTAATTACTGTTATGTTAATCTTCCTATTGTAATAATCATATCAAAAATAACACATGAATATTTTAGAATGTACCCTCACTTACCCATATAAGCCAACCTTCAATAATCATCTGCAGCTAAAGGTTGCTATAACATATAATATTAATCCCCATCATAATCAATAGATCTAATATAGATTGAAGCATACCTTTGCTATATCTGCATTCACACACATGACGCTGGCTAACTAATGCCATCAATAATATAACATGAATCTACAGCTCTGCAGCAGCCGTATTGCTCTCCTGTCTCCAATATTACAACAATATGATAATGTAATTTGCAATTTGCTCATCCTCACCACACTTACCCTATGTTATTACTCCTTCCCCACATGCAGTGAAATTCTAACCAATATATTGCAATGTTGAGGATATTTGCTTTAGGATTTGTCTCAAGATCATCATGTTGATTATGTATATTTGCTTGCATTTATGCATAATCCTTTGTGCATGTCTAGAGATCTTATCGAGGGTTTGATGTATTTTTTCATCTAAATATAAAAAATCAGTTAAGCATACTGCTGTGTCTCTTGATGTAAATCACCCAGAGGCAAACATGAAATCAATCAATAATAAAAAAAATAAAATCTACTACACCATAAAAATCAGCTTACCTCTGTATTATATATACTATGACTTAGCTGCCATCCTGTCTTTGAGAATTTATAATTTCCCTGTGTGTATAGAACTTCAGAAAATCCAATACTCAGAAGAGTGCCTGCCGGGGAATCTACAGAAAATAAATCATGGGAATATTGAACTGTCAGCGGGAAAATCAATCAGAACCTGTTTAGTATTGGACTGTGTTGCTCTGGCGCTGGAGGCTTTGGAGGAATTAGCTTTAGCATATCATACTGTAAACATGGGGGTTTTATTGGCAAAGTAGTCATTATTGATTTTTTATCTGAACTCTGCACTGTGCCTAGCAGATATTCAGAAATAACATTGCATTCCCATAGTGATTTTTCAATTAAAGGAATTGTTTTCATTAATAGCATTTTATGATAAAACAGGGGATTTGTAAAATTTTATGTTTTAAACTGGATTTACAGTTATACCAAGGATCAGTGTATCTATGCAAAGAGAACATTCATTTATTTTACAACACAAATATTTGCCTATACTTGCACACAATATCTTGCAATTGATCTTTGCTCAGTTAATTTCTATTTTCTTAGTGTCTTAAACTTGAACATGAAATTCTTCAACACTGAATAGCCCTGAATAAAATAAATCCTTCTCGATTTAAACTCAAAACAAAATATTTTCTGATCTCCTACTGGTACAACTTTCCAAGAGTTCAAGTTTTGATAAAGTCTGTTTCAGATTTCACCTTCATGAGGTTCGAATTTTCACCTATGTTTTGGGTAAGATGGTTAAAACCTTATCATGTTTTAAAGATGAGCATAAGACAGCAGATGTTTACATTGTTGATTGTTGAACTGAAAATGTTAAAGAAGAAGTAAATTTATATAACTAACAATTTGGGGGAAAGAGAAGTTGTAGATTGAAGGAACCAGACAGTGTATCTATTTTACCCCCCTCCCCATTTCTGCACCACTTACTTTTCGAGGAAACTGTTAGTCTATGTTGGCAACTAGCCTCATTAATTGTCATAAACTCTTTGAATGTTATTTTAAGATAAATAATCTATTTTGATTTATAGCCTAAATGGATTAGCTTAATCTCTACTGGGGCAGAATCTGCCTCAAGTTGAAATGTTGATTGTAACTAAATTCAGCACATTTATTTAAGTTACTTCATAAGGATTTCCATAAAGAACACAGTCCAATGCATAGCAGCAACAAATATTTAAAAATAATTTTAACTGAGTCAATAATTAGAGAATTTGATGAATAAAAAGAATAATCTCATGTATAGACAACTTTTCAGCATAAGTGATTAGGGTTTCACAGTGGTCATACACTTTATTAACAGCTTGTTTCATTGAACATAAATTTTCACAGAGTATTCACAAGAAGTTGTCTCAAGCAATTTACCTTCCTTCCATGAATTATTTTATGCCCATGTTCACCAAGACTACAGCCAATAATAGTGGCTGCCCCCCCCCCCCCAAAGTATGCTCCCTTGAGGGTGTTTTAATCCATATTTGGGGCTGTATGTATCAGTACAGACTGGTTAATATTTTCAATTTCAGAAAATATTTGTAAATCATTAATCCATTTAGTTTACATAAAAAAACGTTCCTCTTCTTTATATATTGAGTATTGATATGGCATGTGGTATAGACTATTTGTCATTTCTCAATATGACCCAAAATACTGATTAAAACCCCTATGGGGTAAATGGAAAAAATACATAGACATTACTGTAATGATTGGGTTTACCTTTGGAGATGTGTAAGACTGATACAAAAATATGTTTCATATAAAAGGAATAAATTAATTAAAAGGTGTAATATATTAAACAATTTATAGAAACTTCTATAAGCACAACTCATCAATGAAGTACAAAAAATGATTTGATTATATTTTGCAACATACACGCAGGATGAAGTAAAAGATGATTTACATGTAATTGTGTATTTATTGACCTTGATGATCTCCATTTAACTGTTCCCACAGAAAATTCCCCAAAATGCAAAAGGAGAAGCGTCAAAGAATGATTATTTACCTCATCCTGTAAACAGAGTTTATCCGGAGGAATAAACCTAATCTATGAGTTATCTTAAAGCCGCTTGTTTACACCTTGAACATATCAAAGTCTCTATAAATTGATGTTCCTTTCAGCTATTTCTTCCAACTGGTTGTTATCTGGCCTTAGATATACAGAGATCATCTTGCCAGCCCCCAGGTGCAAGGTGTATGTTCATTGGGGTTTGAATAGCCAGCCCCTAGGTGCAAAGTGTATGTTTATTGGGGTTGATTAGCCATCCCCTGGGTGCAAGGTGTATGTTCATTGGGGTTTGAATAGCCAGCCCCCAGGTGCAAGGTGCATGTTCATTGGGGTTGAATAGCCAGCCCCCAGGTGCAAGGTGTATGTTCATTGGGGTTTGAATAGCCATCCCCTAGGTGCAAGGTGTATGTTTATTGGGGTTGATTAGCCAGCCCCTAGGTGCAAGGTGTATGTTCATTGGGGTTGAATAGCCAGCCCCCAGGTGCAAGGTGTATGTTCATTGGGGTTGAATAGCCAGCCCCTAGGTGCAAGGTGTATGTTCATTGGGGTTGAATAGCCAGCCCCTAGGTGCAAGGTGTATGTTCATTGGGGTTGAATAGCCAGCCCCTAGGTGCAAGGTGTATGTTCATTGGGGTTGAATAGCCAGCCCCCGGGTGCAAGGTGTATGTTCATTGGGGTTTGAATAGCCAGCCCCTAGGTGCAAGGTGTATGTTCATTGGGGTTGAATAGCCAGCCCCTAGGTGCAAGGTGTATGTTCATTGGGGTTGAAAAGCCAGCCCCTAGGTGCAAGGTGTATGTTCATTGGGGTTGAATAGCCAGCCCCTAGGTGCAAAGTGTATGCTCATTGGGGTTGAATAGCCATCCCCTGGGTGCAAGGTGCATGTTCATTGGGGTTGAATAGCCATCCCCTGGGTGCAAGGTGTATGTTCATTGGGGTTGAATAGCCAGCCCCTGCGTGCAAAGTGTATGTTTATTGGGGTTGATTAGCCAGCCCCTGGGTGCAAGGTGTATGCTCATTGGGGTTGAATAGCCATCCCCTGGGTGCAAGGTGCATGTTCATTGGGGTTGAATAGCCATCCCCTGGGTGCAAGGTGTATGTTCATTGGGGTTGAATAGCCAGCCCCTGCGTGCAAAGTGTATGTTCATTTGGGTTGAATAGCCAGCCCCTGGGTGCAAGGCATATGTTTATTGGGGAAGAATATCCAGCCCCAAGGTGCAAGGTATAGATGTCCATGGGGGTGGAACAACCAGCTAGAGGTGTTTTCCCAAAATGTATATTTAGGATGAACTTGTGTTATTCAATTGTGTTTTACTCTACACGTATGGGTTGTTACTTGACTTTATTTACTAAATCACAATTAGATAATCACGTTTTACTGTACCAGTTTTTACTAATGTTTAAAATGTGCAGTTTGACTGAGTACATATAAAACTTGTTTGAAATTAACTAAAAACACATGACTCTGATATTATTAAATATTGGATACTAAATTGGTCAGGGAAACTGTGTTATGTTACTGTAGATTTATTTGAAACGTGTGGAAATGATTTGCTTCATCTAGAAACTCTGTAAGTCTCATCAATGGTGTTTATGTGTCTGTAGATAAAAGATTGCCAGTATCTAAGGCCAGAAGATGTCATTAATTAATTAATTAGTTTCTTGGTTCATCTTAGATTCAGATAAAACGATCATAGTTTATTATGGTTAGTGCAGTTACATGTAGTTTATGAAAAGTAGTGTAAAGACCTGATGGGTGTTAATCTTGAAATGATTGTTCTTGTTACAATTGCTCAGGGCCAGTAGCAGCATTAACACTTCCCTATTCCCTACCCTGAACAGCAATACCATTTGGCCATTACAGATGAGTTTGCAGTTTTGATGCTTATAAGATCTCACATGTAGCTTTCATTGGCTTTTTGTAGCTATATATGACTTCTTTTCATGATAATACAAAATATCAAAGAATTGGCTCAACATTAATAAAGAGTATAGATAAAAGTGAGCTCTTGTGAATAGAACAAGATTAACAAAAAATCAAAATCAGAGAATCCCATTGTGGAATCCAAAGCACATACTCTTTCAATAAAACTCTGTGTTTAGCTAGCTCTCTGCACAGCTGTGACATGTCTGATATATTGGTTCATTTGGTCAACAGTGGTAGATTTGTGAGAAGTAAATGCACATTTTATATCAAATGTAATGTGCCATACTTAACATTTTAATGATTGAAACTACAAGAGAATAGTGTTCTAATTGGTAATATGATATAAAACTCCATTAGTTACTATTTACTTAAAATATCCTAGAAACAGGAACATTTTAAAAGGAAATCATATAAAAGTAAATTAAGGGAAAAAGTTTATATATTTGTGTTATTAGCAAATGCAAATAAAGATAAGTTGTCTTACCTTTACTAAGTTGTTTCAACAAAAATTAAAAGTCCAGCATTTTTAACCTTATGATAAACAGGATTTATGTTTTTAATATTTAAAATGAAACACATGCTATTTTATTTACTGAAATGGGGTTTCCCAGCAAGAGATTATTATGTACTCAGTCAGAGTATTTACCTACATGTCAGGATTAATGGTATACTTAAAACTTTTTCATGGTCACTTTTTAAGTCATGAAAAATGCAATAAAATTATAACAAATTTCAAAGCTCTATCTTTATGTTATTTTCAATGTTTGAGAGCGACACGTGCTGCAAGGTACAAAGTTCCTAATTTTGATCAGTCTCTATTTCAATCATTTTTTATCTAAAGACTATTCATGCTTTGTTATTATTTCTGCTATATTTTTAACAACTTTTTAACTTGTTTTAATTTGATTTTGTTGTTAGTAAAACTAAAAAGTCTCAATTAAAAGACACTCATAGATGCGCATGTTATAAGAAAGGTTGCATTGATTTAACAACTCAAATTGCAAAAATAATGATGAAAAATAATACTTACTTATGAATGTTATTTAATACTAATTACATTTATCCTCCATTTTGTTTTATATTTCTTGATTGCATATCTTTGTTTAACAAGCAGTTGTTCATTTGACTCTTGGACTTGTGCTCTAGGAATCACTTCATTTACAATATATTAAACTGGTTCGGTGAAATCTTCCAATTTAATCATAAGCAATTCCCAAACCATGATATTTGCAACTAAGACCATTGTAATCTAACATTACCTCCTTATGCTAATTCAATAATAAAGTCAAATGTGGATCCAGTCTCAACCTCTTTCATTTCCTTTCTTTCACATCAATAGACTAAAATCTGGGCCAGATTAATGAGAGAAATCAGAAATTTTGTAAAAATAATAATTGATAATTGGATAAAGCTTATCTAAATTAATATTATATAGAGTGTCTGTAAATCTTGTAAATATGAAATTGTACTATAGGCTAATTAATGAATGTTTATTTGTTAATCCATGGTGTTACCTTGGTGACTTTTTAGTCATAGCTCAGTCATTGTATTGCTTACACACTTATGATAATTGTGATTGAGTAATATTTAAAGCTTAATACAGTAGATTTATAACCCTGCAGTATGTCATCAACAACCTCAAACTCCATGCTGTTTTCTCTTAACAAAGTTAAAGGATGTATATAACTATCAAGAGCTTAGAAAACGTTAAAAATGACTTTTTGAAGAATATGATCAATTAGATTTCTTTTCATCAATTAAATGCAATAAATACACTTTTGATTTCTAATTTACTAAACAGGACATTTCAGATCCTGTCTGAATCCTTTTCCAACTGTATATAAACTGAACTGAAGCGCTACACCTACAAAACAACAATTAAAAAACATTATTACGTCATATTAATTCACCAAAAATTCATTTTTAAAAAACATGAAATTAATGCAGCAGTGAAACCCTACATGACTCTGAAAAATATGTTAGTCCACCTTTAACATTTTGGATTTTATTTTACTGATTCAGTCTAAGAAGTCTCAAAAACTATCAAATGATAATATACAGGGTGTCAAATAAGTCCCGTCCCCCCCTCTACAGCCAAAACCAAGATATTTGGTACCAAGTGTGATATATCATTGGAAAGGTCTTCCAAAGTTACGTTGATTGGGATATATCTGACACATATCACTCAATCTCTTAATTTTTTACAGTGTATCAATTGAGGTGACCATATGCCTAGAAACATGGCAATTTGGCGTATTTGTCAGGATTTTAAGAATCGGGTATAAGAAAGGTCAAGGGACCAAAAGATGACTAAAAATGTTTATGGCGATGAATTTAACCAATTTCTGGATAGGGTTAGATGTGTAGAAAATAGAGGTGCAAGGAAAGTGGTGAAAACCTTTTTGTAACAAGTGGAATGCGAAAAATATTAACTTTTTGACGTATTTCTGAGGTCATATCCTTGTCATTTTGACGCAAAAAGGCTACTTAAAGGAGGGCACGTAAACTTTAAAAAACATCATAAAAATATAGGTAAATTTCATCCAAAATACTTGAGAGTTGGTGAGTTAACATAACTTTGGATGATCTTTCCAATGGTATATCACACTAGGTACTGTGTTAAGGTTTTAGCTGTAGCAGGGGGGACGGGACTTATTTGACACCCTGTATTCATGTTTATTTTGATTTCTCAACTGGATCCAATTTTTAACAGGGTGCAGCACCCTGTTAACTCATCGTGGGGCGATCACTGCTGCCATGGTTAAAACATGTTAACTCAATGCTGGGGAGATCACTGCTGCCATGGTTAAAACATGTTAACTCAATGCTGGGGAGATCACTGCTGCCATGGTTAAACATGTTAACTCAATGCTGGGGAGATCGCTGCTGCCATGGTTAAAACATGTTAACTCAATGCTGGGGAGATCACTGCTGCCATGGTTAAACCATGTTAACTCAATGCTGGGGGGATCACTGCTGCCATGGTTAAACATGTTAACTCAATGCTGGGGAGATCACTGCTGCCATCATGGTTAAAACATGGTTGCCAACTTGGCAAGCCTGCCAGGCTGGCAATCAAATCAACTGCCTCTTAGTACTAGTAAAAGCCTTATAAATGTAAAAAGTGATTGCCATAGGTATTATAATGCATCAATAAATTTTGAATGCTGTTTAGATATTATTTAATAGATAATATACATGATATAACTACAGGTATCTGGAGATGTTTCAGAAAATTCAAGTCATGCAAAATAATATATGAATATTTTCGAAGTTCACATGGGACCTTTAGACAATGTGTTTGCCATTGCTTCATGCATAGACTTCAATATTGAATCACTGATCTTGAAACCCAACATGCTTAAGCTTTTATAACCCTAACATTTCATTGCATGATTATCATGGTATCTTATATTAATTCAGTAATTGACTCCACATCAGAAAATACAAAAATTGTCTTCCTTCAACAACTTTTGTTCCAGACATATACTTGCTAAAATATTTTATCCAAAACTTAAGCATGTTTTTACAACAATGAGGTTCCTAGTTATGTTGTTTGCAACAGCAATTGATGTTTACGTTCAGCAAAGGGGAAAATATATAATTTTAAATAAAGATGGCAGAGTAATCAATTATTTTACTTGTAATAAAGTTCTATCACTGCTGCCATCTTTATATCAGCCTTAAACCTTTGAATACACAATATATATGATGCCACCAAGAAACTTTTACTTTTCCCTAAATTGATATCTGTATTCAAAAAATTGGAGTGAAATTCCTATTGGTGATATGAGTATATAGTAATTCAATCAAATGGGGAATTTATTATTTTATTTTTATATAATAGAGAAGATATATGTTTACAAATACAAGTACTGTATATTTAATTGTAAAAGTTACGGAAGCAGAACTAATTGAAGTGACAAAATATGTTCATTGGTCTGATGTTTTAGAGATACATGTATGTATTTTTTATGGTTTTGAAGAAAAGGGCATTGAGTCTGAGGATGGCAATTACTATGTCTAACTCTTTCCCAATACACCTGTTGGGCCTCAGATGTGGCTTTAGGGTCAGTCGAAATCATATCTTCTTATTGAAAGCCCATGGGTTTACCAATTATTTTCCTTGAACATTTATAATTTTTTCCTGTAAGTTTTAGAACATTTGGAAAGAGACCTGGCATTACTTAACATCTTAACATGCGATTCAACAATTTTTGAATAAACTTGTCTGAACCAGGAAGTTAATTTAAATTATTGAGATTTTAAGTTCTGTAAGGAATTGGTAATATGGGTATTTTCACCCTATTCAAAGTGAGTGGAGGGAAACCATATGGAGATGGTAAAGGAAGAGAAGAATATCACCACATATATATCACTGGTGGATCCAGGGGGGGGGGGGCATGGCTCAAAAACTTTTGGTAATTCTGTATAAAGAAACACATTCAATCCCCCTGTAAATCTCATTCTCTGATACGATTAAAGTGTGTGTGTGTATTTTTATTCTTTAACATTTTGTGTCAAAATAAAAATGGTATCGTTGTTACCAGTGAAAAAATACAATATATTTGGCAGATTTTCACGAAACCATATGATTCAGCTTTTAAACCATGTGATCCAGCGCTGTATCTGATGGTAACCTGATTTTTGCTACATTACAAGCCTGACAAACTGTGACAGTAACAACAAGAGATCAGTTGTTTGGAAAGTTTGATTTCAATCATTTACTAAAAGAAAATCCTATGATTTACTCATGATCTGATTTTTATTCACTCACTCTCCCTACACTAATTTCTTGTTTCATTTGTGAATAAAAATAATACCATAATCATAATTATAGGATATCCTCTATTTATTTCCTTTTGATAATTAATATTTGGATCAAGCTTCATCCCTAATAGTATTATATAAGCCATATAAGCAATTGTATTACAGATTGTACATATAGGACTGCTTAAAGTTTATTGTACACAGAAAACTACAGTTACACTGTCAAGTACAAACACATAAGTCAACGCATTTTTCTTGATTTTTCTTCCACTAATCCTTAAGGTAGGTCAGGTAGAATGAATAGTCTGGGTCTTTCTGTTAGCATTTCTGAATCCTTAAGGTACTATGAATAGCCTGGGTCATTCTGTTAGCATTTCTGAATCCTTGTGGTAAGGCAGGCAGTAAAAATATTCTAGGCCAGAGTAAGGAATTAATATTTTCTATAAACCTGCATATCAATGTCATCTACAGGCAAAAACCATGAGGCCACAGAAGCAGTTTACTGAAAGTCTAATGTGGTGTCTAACTGATAGGCCATGTTGGCCTTGTGACTGGTGGTTCAAACTCCAAAATGATATCTAATAGGGGGCCCAGGTATATCCTCATCTCCATCTCCCTCAAATGATACAACCAAGTCTACATACTTTACACCAGCATGAGGTTTAATCAGCTTTATCATCCTGGAAATTTATGAAAGTAAAATTAAGTATCAATTTACTCAGATGTGTATGTATCAATTTGCTAAGATGTATATGTATCAATTTGCTAAGATGTATCAATTTGCTCAGATGTTTATGTATCAATTTGCTAAGATGTGTATGTATCAATTTGCTAAGATTATATGTGTCAATTTGCTAAGATGTGTATGTATCAATTTGCTAAGATGTATATGTATCAATTTGCTAAGATGTATCAATTTGCTCAGATGTTTATGTATCAATTTGCTAAGATGTGTATGTATCAGTTAGCTAAGATGTGTATGTATCAATTTGCTAAGATGTATATGTATCAATTTGCTAAGATGTATCAATTTGCTCAGATGTTTATGTATCAATTTGCTAAGATGTGTATGTATCAATTTGCTAAGATGTATCAATTTGCTCAGATGTGTATGTATCAATTTGCTAAGATGTGTATGTATCAGTTAGCTAAGATGTGTATGTATCAATTTGCTAAGATGTATCAATTTGCTCAGATGTTTATGTATCAATTTGCTAAGATGTATATGTATCAATTTGCTAAGATGTATCAATTTGCTCAGATGTTTATGTATCAATTTGCTAAGATGTGTATGTATCAATTTGCTAAGATGTTGATGTATCAATTTGCTAAGATGTATCAATTTGCTAAGATTATATGTGTCAATTTACTCAGATGTGTATGTATCAATTTGCTAAGATGTGTATGTATCAATTTGCTAAGATGTGTATGTATCAGTTAGCTCAGATGTGTCAATTTGTCCCTAATACACAAAATAGAGAATGAGAGATGGGTTATAAATACTATGTATATAATATAACTGTTTCTCTGTTTTAAAATTTTAAAAACATAGGAGATTCAGATATTCAGAGCTCAATGTCTGACTTACGTATGTGGTATTCGTTTCTTATGTGCGGGCATGATTGGTACATATATCATTTTCACTCCATGTACGACCATTGTTGTGTTGAATCCGTACTTCTTTTTAAAATGATCAAGGAACTGTTTGAGAGTGAAGTCTTTGTTGCCAGTGACATCCCATTTGTCCCAGTTTGTATAGGACAACCCCTCTCTAGAAGAATTAAAGAAATTTAAAGTTAGATTAATGCCAAGTATTGAGGTGATTACATGTTTATCTTCTCAGTTGAAATGAGACTGTAGACTGAGATGAAGGCAATTAGGCCTACACAGTCATCTTTTTAATCATATGAATGAGTAAGAACGATTCCCATGATACAATGTACATTAAATATTTTGTCAAATTCAGCATAAAGTAAATATTTATTAAAGGGTCATGCTTACTTTACAATAGTTCTCTCAGCTGGCCCAGGCTCAGATAGAAGCATTACAGGTAAGGCTAGATTCATGAAACAGTTCTTGTAGTCTTGTAGTTTAACTCCTTTCACTATCTTCACAAGTTCTATAGTTACCTGTGTGATGTGTAAAATAAGTTAGGTCTTTCAGATATTGACTTTAGTCTTCAGTTACCTAGTATATGAATTGGACAAACTTCATTGAAGGCTATGTATACAATAAGTGAGGTCTTTCAGATATTGACTTTAGTTTTCAGTTACCTAGTATATGAATCGGACAAACTTCATTGAAGGTGATGTATACAATAAGTTAGGTCTTTCAGATATTGACTTTAGTCTTCAGTTACCTAGTATATAAATCGGACAAACTTCATTGAAGGCGATGTATACAATAATTTAGGTCTTTCAGATATTGACTTTAGTCTTCAGTTACCTAGTATATGAATCAGACAAACTTCATTGAAGGCGATGTATACAATAATTTAGGTCTTTCAGATATTGACTTTAGTTTTCAGTTACCTAGTATATGAATCGGACAAACTTCATTGAAGGCGATGTATACAATAAGTTAGGTCTTTCAGATATTGACTTTAGTCTTCAGTTACCTAGTATATGAATCGGACAAACTTCATTGAAGGCTATGTATACAATAAGTTAGGTCTTTCAGATATTGACTTTAGTCTTCAGTTACCTAGTATATGAATCGGACAAACTTCATTGAAGGTGATGTATACAATAAGTTAGGTCTTTCAGATATTGACTTTAGTCTTCAGTTTCCTAGTATATGAATCGGACAAACTTCATTGAAGGTGATGTATACAATAAGTTAGGTCTTTCAGATATTGACTTTAGTCTTCAGTTACCTAGTATATGAATCGGACAAACTTCATTGAAGGTGATGTATACAATAAGTTAGGTCTTTCAGATATTGACTTTAGTCTTCAGTTTCCTAGTATATGAATCGGACAAACTTCATTGAAGGTGATGTATACAATAAGTTAGGTCTTTCAGATATTGACTTTAGTCTTCAGTTACCTAGTATATGAATCGGACAAAGTTCATTGAAGGTGATGTATACAATAAGTTAGGTCTTTCAGATATTGACTTTAGTCTTCAGTTACCTAGTATATGAATCGGACAAACTTCATTGAAGGTGATGTATACAATAAGTTAGGTCTTTCAGATATTGACTTTAGTCTTCAGTTTCCTAGTATATGAATCGGACAAACTTCATTGAAGGTGATGTATACAATAAGTTAGGTCTTTCAGATATTGACTTTAGTCTTCAGTTACCTAGTATATGAATCGGACAAAGTTCATTGAAGGTGATGTATACAATAAGTTAGGTCTTTCAGATATTGACTTTAGTCTTCAGTTACCTAGTATATGAATCGGACAAAGTTCATTGAAGGTGATGTATACAATAAGTTAGGTCTTTCAGATATTGACTTTAGTCTTCAGTTTCCTAGTATATGAATCGGACAAACTTCATTGAAGGTGATGTATACAATAAGTTAGGTCTTTCAGATATTGACTTTAGTCTTCAGTTACCTAGTATATGAATCGGACAAACTTCATGTAATGCTGTTTATAAACAACTGTTCACTTACCAGGCCAGCTACAGCAGCAGTTGTTGTGGCAATAGCAGGTACTATTCTCCCTGCTATTCTTTTGATCTTCAATCTGTCTGTGTTTTCAATGCTATACATTTCAGCTCTCAGATTCTGAAATTTAACTTACTTAACTGAAGGAACAATCTCTTGGTGAAACACCTTCTTAAATAACCAATTAACTTTCCTTTAAGGAACACGCTTCTAAAGGAAGTCTGTATTAAAGTACAATTCCTCAATGAAACACTCACTGGAATGAACAGTGGACACTGACTTTCTCTCAAAGGAACATGCTTTTAAAGGAACTCTATGTTAAAATACAATCCCTCAAAGAAACACTCTTGAATGGACAGTGGACACTCAAAAAGAACACACTTTTAAAGAAACACTTTATTAAAGTATGCTCTCTCTTTGAAACACTCTCTTGAATAGACGCTTTCTCTCAAAGGAACAATCTCCATTATTAGATGCAAAAAACTTTCTGAGAATGCAGTAGAGTACTTAGTACAATAGGAATATCTCTGATTTCATTTTCTAATGTAATAATGTGCATTATTCCATCTAATACTCACAGAATTACTGTGCCCCTGGTATTTTTCGTGTGCTATCTAGTTTTGCGATTATGGTAAATTCGTGAAAATTAATCTTCGCGAAATTATCAATTAATTCCCCGGGGATTTGTGAAATTTCTTGTTTCCTGAGACTCCATTGCATTTCGTGTTTTGTAAAATATTTGTCAAGTGTTTTTAGGCGATCAATGGGATACTTAGTAACAATGTCTGTTACAGTGGCTTATTAGATCAAATAAACCCATAAATTACGATGTAATAGAGGTTAAGGTGCAGTGTGTTGTTGACCAAGATGACAAAGTATTAGGTGTACTTAGTGAAATTCGCGAAATTTAATAGTAGAGTACAGTATTTAAAACAATTTTTTAAGATATTTTTGACTTTTTACGTTGTCAATCTTTGATCAATTGAGGAGCCTAACCCTAAACTTGCATTTATACTTGTGTGTTTGATTTTATTTCCATAGTAACCACTTGTGAAAATTGATGTTAAATGTGTGTTATTTAAATGGGAAGATGGTTGATTAAAATAAGTAACTCACTGAGGCTGAACTTATAAAATCAATGTGGGCATTTGAGTCATCATCCTTCTCAAACGACAGGGCAGTCATATCAGAAAATACTGAAAATAATGTATACAAAAATGAAATATGAAAATTTTACACATTGTCAATTTAATGGTCATCTTTTGAATGGTAACAATATAATTTGAAATACATATATTTACTTTTCTCTACATTGTTTTAGAAAACACATCAGACACTTCTTTTGTTCTTGGTATCATATGTTCGGAATGAAATGAAACATCTATAATCCGAACCTCATTTGAACAAAATGACATAAACACGAATATTTTAACTATACAAATGAAAGTTTTAGTTTTTTTTTTTATCTATTTCGGGGGTTTTTGTTTTAATTTTTTGAATACTTTTTGTTAAATCGACCAAAATTTCCTTTGTACAACTATATAATATTGGGTCTAAGAAAATGTTGTATATGCTATTTTGTTAAAACAAGCTTCGGAAAGATATTTTATTTCATTCTCAAGAAATGGTAAAAAGGAACAAAAAACAATTGCACTGAAAAACCAAAAATGTTAACAAAAACAGTTATATAAAATATGTATAAATTATTTTCTCATTAAATTGTTGTCAATGAGTCAACATTACAGTTCTCCATATCGATACCAATCCTTTGTTCAAATAAAAGCAATTATAGTGAAAAATTTTGTGACTGATTTTTATGAGGTGACGAGAAATCTTGTCACTTCAGGTAGTCAAGAGTATAATGAAACGAGGTTACTTTAGATTTGTAATTAAAAGTTTCATCTTACTTGGTGTCTGGTTGAGATGTTTCTGCATGAGCAATCCTGCATCTTTGTAGTCATCTCCTGTACCAGCATCTTCTGTTGTTTCTTTCTTTGCTGCCTCATCTGTTTCAATTCTCTGGAAAATACATGCTTTAAATCAAACAATTTTATAGCAAATACCAAGACAAACTACAAATAAGTTAAAAAACAATAATTCAAGAAAACCAACGACAGAACACCACAACACAACACCACCTGGTTGTAATTACAAAAGAAAGATAACAATTGTTCCAGACGACCTTGAATCTCATAATGCCATCGAAGAGTTCTCCGTTCTTTGTCATTTTATATTTTTATGATAAAATAAATGGATTGAAATAGTCTAATCAAAGAAATTCCGACATCAAATGCTGGTCAGAAAAAAGGCACCTGGAAGACAACATGGAAAGCCAATGTATGATTTGCATCAATAACATTGATTTCATTCATTACATGTTATACTATGTACAATTTAAACTCATTACCTTTGAGGATGGGACAAAGGGTGGAACTGTCACTGCTGCAAGTAGCTGAAGCATATTTTGTTTGCTCAGATCTGCAGGTGTCACATCTATATTACAGATTTCTGCAAACAATCTAGCTGTACTCACTGCAAAGTTATAATGGCTGAAACAAGAACATATTTGGAATGATGGCTCATGTAGATGGAAGATCACTTCTGGAATCCGGTTTATTTCCTATTGGCAGTGTGAAAGGATTAGGATTAAATATCAAATTATTCTCTTCACAATTTTCTTATCAAATTAATAAGCCATCAATGAAATTGGGTCTTTGGAACTGAATATTATTTATATGTTAATGTATACAATCTAATCCATTGTATTGAGTTTTATGCGGTTCTCGTGGGCATTATTATCTTTGTGGCTATTTTCTTTCCAATGTCAAACACAAGCAGCTATGGAAAGTGTCTGACTTGGTTAAATAAATTAGCCTCAAAGTGAACAAAACCACAACCAGGTTGCAAAAGTTTTAATTTGATAAGAGCAGACTATAAGAATTTGAACAGAAGACAAACAGAATACATACCTGTCTACATTAGGATTGAAATTTAATGGAACTGGGGGACGTTTGGGAGATTGCCAGAATGAACTGCCATCTTTTAACCGAGTATCAAGCGGAAAAGCATGTAGGAGGTTCTTTGCCTGAAAGAAAACATACACTACAAATGTGAACAATAACTCATCTCACATCAGTCTTTTAATACACCTTTTCAACAAGAAATCGGCAACTCCACTGAGCAGCAAATCCCAACAAAGCATTAACATGACAAAATGTCACCACCTAGTTGCTCAAATCTGAAATCTTAAGTCAGATATGAACTTCTGAGAACTTGTAGATGAGTTTGAAAAGAAAATTTGGTCAATTTGAAGCAAGTTGAAAAAATACCGTTTTGACCTTTTTTTACCTTGAAAAGGTCATTGAAGGTAAAAACTCAAATCTAAAGTCAGATAATTTAAAAAAAAATAATTTGGACAATTTGGAAAAAAGACCTTTGTGACCTTAAGAAGGTCATTGAAGGATGAATCTCAAATCTAAAGTCAGATAAAATCAGGTATGTACTCAAAAGATATACAATACAATACATTCTCCCATAAAGGGATGACACCATTTAACCAAATCAAGGAGCCACAAACCTCCATAAACCAAATTCATTAGCATATGTTTACGTTATCAATGTCGCAAAAGATTTTCACATTTTTATGTACAGAGTGTCTCAAAAAAAATGTTACACTCACAAAAAGTTCAATATCTTTCATAATTTTGACTTTTCCCTAAAATATACTTTGAATACCAAAAGACAAATCTTTCTCGAATAATTTGACACCATCAAATTCAAAATCTGTCATTGATTGGCTCCACATGACAGCTTTTAGTGTCCCATGGTAAAATCTGACTTGCGCCAACTTCTAAGTGATTGGATTGACCAAATGACAAAAGAGGAACAGTTTTTTAACTTTCTTCTGAGTAGAAGCTTGACCTTAAACTGAGTCATTATGTAATTTTCCTATTTGTCTTAAATATGATCATTGGGTATAAGACATAAACATGTGGTATCCTCAACATGTTCTCCAAAGCAAATCTGAGGTACCCTTGCCAATGCGCACATGAATTGTAATATCACTCTGATTCTATCAATCATTTTTGCAGGAGTTCACTTAGGTCAGTGTGTGATGCTGTGAACCGCTTTCAGAGGCCCGTAAAAAATCCAGGGTGTATGTAAAGTGGGATGACCATGGGGGCCAATCCATTGGGCAATTCAATGCTATCTTCTAATTTCCAAAGAGTTCTACCAAACGATCTGCCACAGGCCTTTGCACCATCCTGTTGCCATCATAACAAAATTGAACACTCTGACAATGAAATCTTGTATTTCTATCCAGGAAAGAAACATCTGGATCATTGATCATATCAAGATATCACTGTCCACAGCATTCAAACCAAAAAAGAATTGATCACCACATGTCCAGCCACTGAGAAGTTGGCGCAAATCAGATTTCACATGCGTCTTATAAAATCTGTCCTGTGCAGCCAATCTTGAACAGATTTTGAATCTGATGGTGTGAATTTATTCGAGAAAGACTGGTCTTATGGTATCTAAGTATATTTTAGGGGAAAAGTCAAAATCATGAAAGATATTGAACTTTTTGTAAGTGTAACATTTTTTTGAGACACACTGTATTGTAGATTTAAATGTCCTCTTTTGTATACTTTAGTTTCAATGATGGTAATATTTTTAATTTTTTAGTGAACCCCCTACGTCGTATTCATGATTCGTACAACATGCATTGCAATTGTTTTTCAATATTTTTAGTAAGAATATTCAATGATTTTTTCATGATACTGTAGATACACTTAATTTAACGTTACTTAATTTGGCGGATTTGCTCAATTTCAAATTTTGGAGGCTATTTGATTTGGCGGATTCAGGACTGAGTTAAGTTTTATCATTGATCTGCAAATAAGCATTTTAGATTCATGTGTACAACTTACAGAAAGTCTTGGTATAGCACTGAAATCCAAATAGAAATACTTAGACAGGTGTAACCTTAGTTTAGTTTCAGTGATTTTGACATGTCAAAGTTCATTATCTGTAATTTTTTTTTTACATCTGTCCAACAGAATTATGCAATACATGTTGTTCAAAAGTTGGTACAAATCATGAGACAACATAGGGGATTCGCTACTATTTTTTTTTAATTTGGCAAATTGGGCAAATTTTGAAATTTTTGCTGCTATTTTATTTGGCGGATTGACCATCATCAAGCATATAACACACTTCAAAGCTGGCCACTGATAAATTAATTTTATCTCTCCTGATATCAGATTGTTTTATCTTAACCAAAGGGAACTCTGTAGATCTTTGCAAATTGACATTTTATCCATTTTTCAATCAAGATTTTCACAAAAGTTTTATTGTGTGCAAGGTAACAAGTACTGGAAAAAGTACTGGAAGAAAATCTCCAATTAAAGGAATTACAGTATATAATATATAATACACATATGCGATATACACACAGGTTAAAATATAGCTAGCGCAATACCATGAATACATACCCTGTGATTGAAATATTTTTCAAACTTCAATCTGGCCAAGGTGACACAGAGTGGCCAGCTGGTGGGCTTGTTTCTGACCATCTTGCTGATTTGTGTAGCACTCTCTATTGCACTTCCCTCCAACAGCCTCTGAAATACATTTTCATTTGTTAGAAACAAACAAGTTTGATTTCAAGGAAGCATAATATGCCAGAAAGTAGGCTTTCAAATTCAATTAAGGAAAAGGCACCTTAAATATCACACACAGGTTTCAATAGAATTCTGACAGGAGACAATACAATAAACAACAGGCAAAATGATAACAAGATTTGATTTGAACATGGATAATATTGCAAAATTCCTCAAACAAACACCTGGCAATCCTTATGTGTTGACACTTGTGCTCGTCAAAGACCATAACATTAAACAATAATACACCATAAAACGAGTTTGAGATATGATCCATTAATCCTTTTCAACAATGCACCACCATATTTCTGGTACCAACCTGTATGACATCATCCGCTGAACCATTTGAAGACCAGAATTTATTGAACAGTGCTGGTTTCTGGCAAAATGAACTTTCAAACTGAAATGAAATTGTCATGTAAAGAATTTAATGTGCATTATCATTTTGTATAAACATTTAAGCATATTTAACAGTTATTCTTTCATGATCATCATTTTAACATCATCCTATAAAACGCATATGTACCTTATCTCTGGCCCACTGTATGCAGTGTTCTATAGTAGCAGGGAATGACTTTAGAGTACAGTATGGAACATCTTCATCAGGAGGGTCACGCTGCAATATTAAACTTATTTATTCCTTTACTGTAGGTGCACTTAACTTGACTTACATAATTGTATCGAGGCATCAGAAAGAAATATAATTCTAATTTTCTGAAAATGTTTCAATTTTGGCTAAATATCTTATATTTTTAACCAATGTGCTTTTTTCCATTCAACATTTCAGGTAAAGAATTTTGACCATTCAATGTCAATTGATAGATTAGTGGGTTCTCTAAAATTAGGTTTTTCAAAAAAATATTAAATTTTTAAGTAATTTTAAGGGACAAGTTTTACCTGACTACTGTAGGACTCTGTGAGATGTGGTACAATTACTTGCACATGACCCTTGGCCCCCATTGTACCAGATTCCAGCAGTGCTCTCTGATTTGTCACACATCTCCTGTGAAGAAAAAATAGAAATATGTAGAAAATACTTGTGTGGAGTATACTGCAAACTGTGAAAATTCAGTCAATGTTTTACACTATGGGAGGAGGAAAGGGATCATCCTGAAATGTTATAATAGAACAGTTGTTATACATTGGTAGATCATAATGTATTTACCTGTGTTTAAAATGATAGCAACTAAAAAGCATAGACAATTAAATAATGCTAATAGCAAAACTCATTAATCAGTTTCCAAATACATGTACTCTCAAATCATTCACACAATGCACATGGTTTTACAAATACATATTTCCAGCCTTATTCAAGTGTATGCAAAGACACAGTAAAAGACAACACATACATCAGGCTCTCAAGGTGAATAATACGGAAATGTCCAATTATGGCACAAAAGTTGAATTTGCAGCCATTTGGGTATGCTGATTAATATGCATGCATCAGACTCTAGCTTATTGTATTTTCTTTCTCCATTCATTAACAAATTCTATTTTCTATTCCAGAAGTCATGGGTCAGGCAATATCTTCTTGTGTGAGGTTTCCACCCAGAACTTTAATCAAAGAAGATCTCAGTGAAGCTGAGGAACAACGCCTTTCACATTTTGTAACAGAAATATACAATGAGGCTAAATTGAAACACAACCAAGCAGACCTCGCTCAACATGAACAATATATCAGGACACGTGTTGTACAACCAATCATTGATAAGTTCAACAAAATGCATCCACTCCTTACTGTTACAGATACTCTTCTAAATGGAAGTATGTCAAATGGGACAAAAATAGAAATGCCATGTGAATATGATTATATGCTACCAATAGCTCTCTCTGGTAACAAACAGCTTAAAATCTCCAAATATGATAATGGCACATTGTTTATAAGCCTTAGCACTAAATGTAACCATGAATTGCAGCAACTGATAGAGGAAGAGAAATACGAATATTTGATGGTGAAGGTGGCAAACAAAAAATATTATTTTAATCCAGTTGCTTTAAAAAATATTGTTCACATGGCATTGAATGGTTGTTTATTGGAACTCCACAAAGAGAAATTATTGATTTACAAAAGGATGAAATCATTAAAATATGAAACTCCAATATCAACCCAGCTTGATGAGAAGGAAGTCATCTTGGATGATCGAACACATGGACCCTGTAGCCGGCTCAGAGCGTGGGGACCATTGTGTGTTACAGACATTGACTTAGGAGTTTGTTTGAAGATACCTGACCTGCCTCAGACAGAGGATAGCTTCTACATGGCATTGCCCCCATCAAGGGAATTGTATTGGAAGAAATCATTCTATGAGAAACCACATATTCGCGCAACAAGGCTAAATCAATCTCATGTAAAGATAATTATGGCAATTAAATACATCCTATCACAGTTTTTATTCCATTCTAGTGTTCATGTCAATGGTGCAGAAATAGACCTCCACTCCCATGCCCTATTCACCATAGTAAGATGTCACCAGGAGAAATGCCAAGGAAAACTATCACTGGGACAATGTTTCTATGATACCATCTACGATGTATGTAGGTTTCATCTTAAATCTATAACAAATCCAACAGCAATTGAAGTACATGATATGAATCTGAGGAATCTACAAGACAAAGACTGCTCAGAGATTCACCTGTTAGAGAAAAACACTACAAGTCATAGTTTTACTGGTGTTTATGGAGTTGTATTGTATACTTTGATGAGACTTATAAAATTTTCAGAAAAGTCACCAGCTGAATACTACTGCAGGTATCTGGAAAATCTAACAAGGGAGACAGAGCTAGAAGTTCTCCAACAACATTTACTTCAGGGTTCACGTAAAGAATCCCTTACAAGAGAACAAATCTTAGCAGAGCAGGATATAAATACATTATTGTATAATGTTATGAGCACAAAGCATGGCATATATTTGAATGTATTGGTTGATACAGAGGTTATCTTATCACGGGTGAAAATCAAATAAATTTAAGCTGTTGAGAAGCAGCCATAGTGCCAGTTATGCCAGGAATATATAACTCTATAATCCCTTTCTCATGCTGGTTGAGATCCCATAGCATCCCAATAAGTCAGTGAGATGAGTCACAGGGAAAATTGTAGGATATAATGATATTTTTTAATCTCTACAATGTACTGTGTGTATTCAATTTACATTTTAATCTGCTACTGGCCCTAATGTTTATGAGGCATCTACTTCCTCCCAAAAACCCCTCTTTCTATCCCTGACAAGCATCTTAAAAATATACTAAAACTTACGAGTCCATGTATTTCCTTGCCTCTACATTATCTAGTGCATTCACACACATATCCTGACCAGTGAAGAAGGCATCTGTATACACTGTGCTCTCAGTCTGAGGCCCTACCCTATGTTCATGTGGGTCTATATGCAGCTCAGGGTTGATATCAAGGGCTGATTTAGCCGCTGTTACACTTTTAGCTTTCTACAATGCACATTTCTTGTATAGTTGTAAGATTGTGATCAAAGGATTTTTATGAAAAAATTGTAAATGTATGAAGAAGTGTATTACATCTCTAGTTGTATTTTTATATTTGTTTACAATGTTTTTAATAAATTTAATGAATGCTGAACATACTTTCTCTTGTTAACCTCAATACATGTGATTTGGGGACCTAATAAGCATATACAGAAGAATATGTAGTGAAAAAGTATGATGTAAATTGTAATTATTACCTGTATATGGTGTGGACGGAAGAGAAACTGCCTGTTGAGATTCGACTTTTCAATAAGATCATTGTCTGTTATTGTTATTAAGCCCTTCCCTGATGTTCCTATGCCTACAAAGAATAATAACAATATGTAAGAATATGACGACAATAGACGACAACATAGCACTTTGAAAAAGTGTGATAAAAGAAATAATGTTTATTGTTAATACATACATACATTTATTCTAACTTTAAATGAATGAACCGCTTACATGTTGACATACTGATATCACACATAAACATCTCAGAGGTATCCAAAATCTATTATATTCATAAGGGTTATGTACTGGGAGGTTTTGATAATATTAATATTTCCCATAGGATATACCCTTTATACAAAACCGACCGTGCATAACTGGTGTATCTCATACTTGAGTGGGTTTGGGGTAGACATAACCTTTTCCAACTTTTTCAAATGACAAGATAGGCCTATATTGAAAAAGCACAAGTTATATTTTACATTTTCGTAATATTCCTTTGGTTCAATCCATGAAATTGTAACATTTAAACTTTTAAAAAAATTTAAACTTTAAACTTTTTAAATTTTTTGAAAAATTCCCGGGAGCGGGATGGATATATTATATCTGCCCGCATTTAGCCTGGAGCGGGACATATACAATATATCCTGCCCGCTCCTCAGATATGATATATATTCCCGGGTTATATCTACCCAAAACCCACTCTGGTATGAGATACATCATCATATGTGAGATATTTCACCTAGTCACACTTTCTAGTGAAACAATGACTTTGATTGATCAAAGTGAAAATGATTTATTTTACCCAGCATTGCATAGTTCTTAATCATTTCACAGCCTATAGCACCACATCCAACCATGAACAATCTCAGATTTGACAGCTTCTGACATAGTTCCTCCCCTATACACATTCTCAATGCATCATATCTATTCTCTCTGCAATTAAGAATGTGTGTTCAATAACTAGTAATACAGATCAGTTGCATTACTCTAGGTAAGGTTGCATTGCTCTAGGTAAGGTTGCATTACTCTAGGTAAGGTTGCATTGCTCAAGGGTCAAAAATAAAATATTTGGCATATCATTTTCAATAATGCATTTATGGAGCACTTAAAGAAATTTTGGGTGACAGATATGACAAAATATTGCTTCTGGGACGAGATCAAACGACTTTGACATATTTTTTACCCTACCTATTTTGTAATTTAACAATCAAAATGACTTTACATACCATATTTAAGCAGATATTGAACAAATACATGAAAATATTTTTTATAAAAAACTGGAAGTGTGTTCTCTGAGGTTGGTGTGAAAATATTTTGATTATTTCAAATATTTTGCCATGGATTTAATTTTAAATGCTTCTAAATGATCTTCAAATGCTCACTTTGATTTCTATTATATATATTTTGACTTCCCCGTTCCATAAAAAAACATTATCACCATTTACTCGGCTCGTTAATTTACCTCTGGTCTACCGAAAAAAAATCTAAATTATAAAAGTTAAAATCCTCAGTCTAAACATGGCTTTTGAAAGGTTCATAAATCGACTTTGAATGGACCTTCATGCATAATTCGAAAATAGAATCATCAGAGAAGGTTTTAAACCATGAAATCGACTCTAAAGCTCTGTTCCTTTTAGGAAAGAAACCTATGATTCTAGTATATTTCTTTTGTTTTAACAGAAATACATATTTATTGCACTTGCATAATTATTAAATTGAGTTCAGTGGATGTAGTAACTTTTCAAGAACATGATTCTGAAAAGCAAATGTTTGTTTAACTTCTAAAACTGATCAGAGGCTTGGTGGGTAGAGCATCTTCCTATTTTAAAAACCTTTTTATAACTAGTATTGTTTCAGTGAAAAGTTCTTGGAGACATACCTTGGCTGGAAAGAGGTGGACTCAGCTTGGAGATCATCAAGGACCTCTATAGCATCTAAGTGAAGCTGGAATAAATTTTTGGGTACATTTTATCTCACCTAATACAAAATATTACATATTAAATTTATCTACACAGATTAAGCCAATTTTACCACAGTTAATTTACAATTGACTCATCTTTTCCACAAAGATAAGACTTCTCATTAAAATGAAATTAAAGATTAAACTGCCTTTTCTTGAGGAAAAGAGTGGAATCAGTAAGAAATAAAGTTAAGAGACACATATGTAGTACCCTGAATTGACGAGAATGATCAGAAAATCAGATAATAATAAACACACGATAAGAAAAATATATCAAACACGTTATAATTACACACTTAACATAACTTGCAACTCGAAAGATTTGGAATGAAAGATTTCAAGTGTGCTTATAAGCAAAAAGTTGCCACTTATTGTACATTTACTACAGTCAGACAGAAAAATCTGAACAAACTCCAAGAAGAAATTTCATGAACATTTTTCTAAAATGAAAGGATATCAAAAAATAACTCAAAAACCTCACCCATTGATTTAGAGGAGTAAATTTGCCAGTCAATGCTTTGAGGGCTTCCTGTGCAACAATTCCACCAAGAGCAGTACATAATGGGGCAAAACAGCCATGGGCAGTGTAGGATAGATGGCGTATCAATGACTCATCAATTTGCTCCATTTTGGTAGCCATTTTGGAATTGACAGTTTTCACTATATTCAGCATAACACCTGCATCTTTCTCACATCTGTATATGGAAAACAATAATGGAATAAAATTACAGACCTGACATATGTATTTACAGTTACAACACAGTATCAACTAAAAAGATAAAATCACTTTTCAAGTTCACTCGTAATCACAAAATTTGGGTAGTATGCCATTTATTTCATAAAAAATCTCTGAAACTCTAGTCCTTGAATTATTCTTACATGGAATACTATTTTAGATACATGCAAATCATGCTTATTCCTCTCCATTTTGCAACACTGACAAGGGAAATGATATTGTTTTCACAATTCACTCTACCTGATATTTGGCAATCTATTTTGATCTTCTTGGAATTTGTGTAGCGAGATCATAGCAAGATGGATGTTAGCCGGAGCCTGAAAAATGAAAATAAAAAAGTGTTAGTATTAATATATTGAAAAAAACGCTGAGGCAAAAGATGTCAACCCGCAATCAAGCATATGGACTGTGAAGTAAAACTAATCAAAACTTGTCTTTGACACTCTCATTTTCACAGAGGTTTAGAGTGATTATCAAGATTGTATGCCAAGTTCTTAAGATATGCAAACATGTCAGCATGCACATGTAAAAAGTCAAACGGGAAAACACATTTGCATTCACCAAAATTCAGATAATATATTGATACGCTTGATGATATTTTTGTAATAATTACCTGAAACTTTGCTAAATCAGCAAGTAGAATGTTTGGATCATTCAGCTGATCTTCCAGGGATTTCTAAAAGAATAACATATGTACACATAAAAAGAATTGTTTTAGAGTTTTTTTTATAATCACTGGACAAAATAACATGTGTAGAACTTGTGCAGGATATTATGGAACCTATATCAAAGTAAAAAAAAAGAAAAATGTAAAAACATTGAGTGATTTATTTCAATTTACATTTCGCCATAGACAGACAGTTACTGCTCATGAACAAAACAAAGCATAATTCATTTATTCAGAAAGGCTACTTACAAAGGATAACTTCTGTGGGACTTTGCATTGACTAGCTTTACCCCCCTCAGTGTGTGGATTAAATTCAGGACCAGTTGTGTCGCATATAGAGTAAGCATAAGGAGACACCACTGCAATAAACATCATTTCATACATGTTATAAATTAGTCTATTATTCACCCTATGCAGACAGAGCCTGTGGGAAATATTGGGTGCGGCGCAAATGAGCGGAGGGTGCGGAGCTAACGGTCATTTTTGAATTTAAAATTGGGATATTTCTGAAACTAAGCCGTTTTGGGACTTCAAATATACCAAGATATGTGTATTTGACACCAAATATCAATAAAATTGTGAAAATAGTAGTGCAATTCATTTTATAGCGACGCAGTATGCCTTAAACATTTCCCAGACCTATATATTTTGAGACTATCCTTTTAATACTGCGTCCCCAGCATTCATAAAAAATGGTGTTCAAGATACACTACCCATGCAAATTATTTTTGCATCTTGGAAGCCAGGCAGTATTTGTGTGATTTTATAAAAATTCGGAAATGTTCTTCAGATATGAGCCCCTCTAAATATTGGGTGCGGAGCTACGTTTATGGAGCTGCTCCGCACCCAATATTTAGAGGGGGCTCATATCTGAAAAACATTTCCGAATTTTTATAAAATCACACAGATACTGCCTGGCTTCCAAGATGCAAAAATAATTTGTATAGATAGTGCACCTTGAACACCATTTTTTATGAATGCTGGGGACTCAGTATTAAAAGGATAATTTCAAAATATATAGGTCTGGGAAAGGTTTAAGGCACACTGCGTCGCTATAGAATGAATTGCGCTACTATTTTCACAATTGTATTGATATTTGGTGTCAAATACACATATCTTGGTATATTTGAAGTCCCAAAACGGCTTAGTTTCAGAAATATCCCAAATTTAAATTCAAAAATAACCGTTAGCTCCGCACCCTCCGCTCATTTGCTCCGCACCCAATATTTCCCACAGGCTCTGTCTGCATAGGGTGTTATTGCCCATTTATATTTATGTTCATGACAAATAAATGATTTCTTGGCCCAGAATTAAATTTCTTTAAGCAAACGAATAATACAATAAATATTTGACCAAGCATCACCTCAATGTTTTTCATTCTGTGAGATTACATCATATATCATACAATTTGAAATAGAATATCTCATACCTTTAATCTGGCATTGTTTTCCATTCAGGACATCCATTCCTTTAATCTCCTTGAATGTGACAGTGTCTCCCGATTCAAACCCATGCATCCTATTTTCTAAACATGTCACAACTCCTGGGTTGGCCTGAATAGTAATTTTGTGAATACTGTATTACCAAATCATTTATTCCAGTTGTATATGCATATGTTTTTATTATATTGTTTGAATGACATTCACTTGTCATTACCCCAAATGTTGTGATAAGTACCTCCTCTGGCCACTAGGTGTGACAAATTCCATGATTCATACAGATAATTACAGTTGAAGTTTCCAGAATGGAGACAAAATGTCTAAACATCTCTAAGTTATACATGATTTATATTTTAAAAAGTAATAAGCAATACTGGATTTGCTTTTTTGAAATTCGTACTGTCATAACCAGATATTTTCATACACATTTTAATGTGATTTACCTTTGTGATTGTAGCAATAAACACTTCTTTAGGCTCCTCTCCATTAGGATCTAATATCTCAAAATCATTGCCAAAATCACAGAACACAGACCCAAACACGCCATAAACATCTCCACAAATAAACTGGAAAATAACACTGCAGTATGTAAATGTCATGCAGATAGATTTTAATTTCATTTTAATTTTAGCTCTTAACCCACAAAATCTTCATTCTGGGGAAAAAGAGAATTTTAATTAAAGACATCCTAATGCATGTGCTCTGAAAATATCATTTCTTCATGAAGTTATCATTTGCCTTTTGAAAATTTAACACTGTATCCAAAATGAAGAATGGATAACATTTTTATCATTTGATTTATCTCTTGTGTCAGAACAAAAACATACCCAAGCTAAATAAAATGTGTTAAGCCTAGATCCTGTCATATTAAGTAAATTTTTTTAAATCATTTATTTCAGTTAAACATAATTTAATTTTTATTTAAGTAAATTTTACAATTATAAATACATGTATATTCCATATGATTCTGACAATGTTATCACCCAAACATATACATACAGTAGCCTAAGCTTATATATATATATAATATATGACACATTAGTCTATGTACAAACTAAGAAACTAATCTAACTAAAAATTAACTATAAACTATGAGAATACATGGATAAAATTAACTCTAAAATAAATATATATGATCTCTCTGAAGTGTAATAGCTCACACCCCTAGTACGACGTATATGTCTTATCTCAAGTCAACTAACAAATACATACAATCATCAAGACTGCCACTTGTAAGAGTGATGTATGTTTCATACCTGTATATTGTGAAGCCTGCAGAATGCGTCAACTCTCAGTTGGGACTTCAAGCTCCCCTCAGTCATCACAACACACTGAAATAATGGACCATTGAAATATCTGCTAAGTTTCAGCACTTCAGCATAATTCTTCCTTGTCGAATGAAGGTGACTGTTTATAATAATTTAGCACTTATTGGTTTTGCTGATTTAAAAATATGATAAAAAAGTGATCACATAGTGGGTGAACCAGACACAAATCTTTCTGTATTAGTCAAAATGTCTTCCAAGTATTAAGCACAGAGGTTAGTAAAACTATGAATACCTGAAATTCTTTCAGAAAATCTAGCCCAGAGTTTTCATCCAAGCTACCTGTACATTGCTTTACTGTAACATAAGGGTTGAGTTCAGCTAATGATGAAATACTAGCATCACTTCGTAGTCTCGCAGATTTCACATCAGATTCATGAAGAAAGAATTGAGTTCCTAAGTCACTATATCTCGCTTTTTTATCGTCAAGGATTGTCAAACTCTGAAAATTCAAGCAAATGCTGTATTTTAAATGTATTGCATGTTTACTTAGTTATTTTTTGTTATGAATATCATGTGTTTTGGTTATCTACCTTGATTTTGTCTTTGAAACAATGTGAGGGAATTGTAACTTTGGTGAAAAAATGGCCGTATATATACTTTAATCACACGGTTAGGGAGTTTCTAATCATTTTGATTGATCAATTGTGATGATGCACATTCCATATCACATGCATGGCACCGAACTCATTTTCATGTGATAAGGTGGACTGTATCACAACGGAGTCATAAGCAACAATATGACATCATTGGTTTATATTACTTCTGGCTGAAGACAACAGTATGTCATATTTTTTTCACAGAAAAGTACAAATACAACGATACGATGTCATGTTATTTCAAAGCAAAATTTCAAAACATCCAAAGTATAATACAATTTCAAAATAGCATCAAAATTACCTGGAAAACTGCGTATTGAACACAATCACAACTGACCAAATCAAATGCTTAAAAAACTCCCAGACATGTGAGTAAGAATGTATCACCACTCAAGCTTCGCTTTCATGGACGATACTGATTGATACAGTGTTACCTTTAATGGAATGTTTCCTGTATTTCATACTGAAACGTGTGATAATTCATAGTATCACATAAAGATGGATGATTTTTTACATAAAAAACTATGAGGAAATGAATTACCTTGATTCCAGCCAGTACAAGATTTTTTGCTGAAAAACAACAATGTTTTAAGATTAAGATTATTTTGATTTATGAATTTCATTTCATACTCAGTTGCAGCTGGTGTGTTATTTGAATGTATCAGTCAATGAAAACACACATTTCACACTAAAGGGCTAGTGCCCTATTCCAATATGGTCAATCCCCACAAGACATTGCTTCTGAGATGCCATAGATCATAGCAACTGTGTACAGACCATAGCAGCTGTGTGTTATTTGAATGTATCAGTCAATGAAACACACATTTCACACTAAAGGGCTAGTGCCCTATTCCAATATGGTCAATCCCCACAAGACATTGCTTCTGAGATGCCATAGATCATAGCAACTGTGTACAGACCATAGCAGCTGTGTGTTATTTGAATGTATCAGTCAATGAAAACACACATTTCACACTAAAGGGCTAGTGCCCTATTCCAATATGTTCAATCCCTACAAGACATTGCTTCTGAGATGCCATAGATCACAGCAGCTATGTTGTTCACTTCAAATGAAAAGTGTACATATGACTTTTGTATTTATGAAACAATACAAACATATTAAATCTACATTTGGTTGAAATATACCAAGATTTGGGAGGGAAAGATCATTTTCTAACAAAAACTATAGTATGGTATCAATCATATCAACAAACCTTGCAATGAATGTGTTGATGATGTCATATGTGTTTATCAGGTAAGTGTTTTTTATACAAAGACTAACTATAGTTCAGGAGTAGCATTTACCTATTTCAACCCCAAGCCCTCCTAGTCCAGATAACAGCACATTGGAGCGAGCCATTCTCTGCATGGCACTGTCTCCCAACACATATCTCTGCCGACTACAATGTTACAAGACACGAAAAAGACTATAAAGGCATTTTAAACATGCATTTGGCTTTTGAAAGACCTGAAGCATTATCATGTACATATTTGTATTCATGTGTTTCTGCATAATCTTTTCTTTTTTGAGTTATTTCAAAAGAAAACTTTCACGATTAGGTTGAAATAAAAACAAGTGTATGAATGTTTTGCATGTACTCAATTTGAATAATCAGACAAATGAGTCAGTGTGGTGAAAAAGGAATAGGTTAGTTGGAATGAGTCTCCTGAATACATTTTTCTTTCTGTTACATGATGAAACAGAAATTGTGTTTAAAACCACTTACAATGACCAATTATTAGATACGAGTAGGTAATTACCAGTTTTACCACCAGGTGGCTAATTCGGGGCAGATATAGTAGAAAGTTCCCTTAAACTTGAATATTCATCAGGTTTAGTGGTTCAATTTTCATATTAGCCTTAAGTATCTGATGGTTATGCAAATTAAAATATGTCCATTAAAAGAAAATATCTGTCCAATACAAGGTAAGATATTTCACTTTCTGTGATTTTATAACATGGGGTCTGTGGAGAATCTCCCCAACCTGGAAGTCACATTTTCAAAGAAATTTGAATTTTCAAAGAAAATTGAAGTTGATGAACACTTTTTAAAACCACATTTCTAGACGAATTTTACATGTAGATTTCAAATATGATATAACTTTGACTCAATTTTAATGAGGTATATCAAGATTATTTCTACTTGCATCTAGTCTATTGTTAAAGGCATAGGGGAATATGTACATTACTCTTTAATCTGTGTAACACAGGCTGGTATCGAAAATTTTGTCCGCTGTGACGGAGCGTGCTATTTTGCATAGAAACACTAAGAAACCCTACACAATTTATTTTTTTACTCATATGTTTCGCTATACCAAAGAAAGTTTCTTACTCCATGCAATGGGTATATCATTTGTGGGTAACTTTAACTTTTGTTTGAAGTCCAACAACGCTAAGAGTAAAAGCTATTGAAAACGGCGCCAGGGTATCATACTCCCAATGTACCATTTCTTTTATTTCTTTTTAATGGTACAATATAGCGACAAGATAATATTTACATATGTTTTCAGCATAACTCTGACGGTATTAATGATATCTTGATGCATTGGGTATTTTTAATATTTTTTATAAAAAATAATGTTTACATTTTTTGTCAGCTGTGACGGAGCAGTTTTAACTGTGAACTACGTTAAGAATTTAAGATTCAAATTATACCTTTTAAAAGTACCCTTAGAAGAGAGAACGTCACAAATCACTTTCCTATATTATGACAAGTAGCCTCTGGGAGATCTGGGGTAATGTAAATCTGAGATATAAAAACGACCACTCGTAGCATTTTTGGAGGTTTGTACTGAAATCAACATGAATCAACATGGTGTAAACTCAACATAATATTTCTAATACGTTTCCGCCTAGACGTCTTGGAATATCATGTGTAGTGTAAATAGGGCTAATATGAATTTATTCGAAATAGCGCACAGACATCCTGAATTCCGACAGATGTATAACCTTTTACCACATAATATCACTGTATATAAGTTACCATAAAAAATGACCATGTCAGGTGATGGATCCACAGTAGGCACAACGAAAGGCAAATACCTTATACTGAAATAAAGTTGACTGTTATTTTCACGAGTAACCATGCATAACTTGGATTACAGTACAAACTGAGAAAAGAAGCTTAAAGAGTGGTCGTATATACATCTCAGAATTTGAATTGTGTACTTTTATTCCGTTTTATTTTTCAGAATACTTTACGAAAGAGATTTGATACGCTCCCTCCACTAACGTGTAGTGATAAAGAGATATATTATAAATCTAAATTCATAACGTATTTCAGATTTGAAACTGCTCCGTCACAGCAGACAAAAAATTTAAACATTATTTTTTATAAAAAAAATTAAAATACCCAATACATAAAGATCTCATTAATACCTTCAGAGTTATGCTGAAAACATATGTAAATATTATCGTGTCGCTAATTGTACCATTAAAAAGAAATGAAAGAAATGGTACATTTTGGAGTATGATACTCTGACGCCGTTTTCAATAGCTTTTACTCTTAGCGTTGTTGGACTTCAAACAGAAGTTAAAGTTACCCGCAAATGCTATATTCATTGCATGGAGTCAGTAATTTTCTTTGATATAGCAAAACATATGAGTAAAAAATAAATTGTGTGGATTTCCTAGTGTTTCTATGCAAAATAGCACGCTCCGTCAAAGCAGACAATTTTTTCGATACCAGTCTGTGTTTAAAGCCAATTCAGGGTTCTCACTAGGAAATGTTTTGAAAAATGGTGCAAACCAGTTCATGTTTAGTTTTCAAAATTACTCTAATTTATATTTACCATTTGCATTCGTTCAACTTCACTTCTTAAAAGAGAGCTTCATCTTCACTCTTTCAGTTTACAATAAATCTTTGATCTCGCCGAGCCAATCAGAGTTTGCATTGTAATTTATTAAATGGGATCTGATTCGTAATGAGAATATATTCAATATTCATTCAATTGGATTAATTGGGAAGGTACTTTGGAATAGCTGCACCACAGTCTAAATAGCTAGTGAGAGCCCTGGTGTTAAATATAACAACAATACCTGTATAAACTATCATCAATGACAATGTCTTCCCCCGACATGGTCTCAACGTAGTCTTCTATACGAGGCTTCTTACAAGCAGCAATCTTGATGGTGGTAGACCTTTAAGTAACAAGAATAATATTCAAGTTTAGGCATTTTACAAGTGACAATCTTGATGGTGGTAGATCTTTAAATAAACAAGAATAACATTCAGTTTTAGGCATCTTACAAGTGGCAATCTTGATGGTGGTAGATCTTTAAGTAAACAAGAATGATATTCAATTTAAGGGATCTTACAAGTGGCAATCTTGATGGTGGTAGATCTTTAAGTAAACAAAAATAATATTCAATTTTAGGCGTCTTACAAGTGGCAATCCTGATGGTGGTAAACCTTTAAGTAAACAAGAATAATATTCAATTTTAGGCATCAATCCTGATGGTGGTAGACCTTTAAGTAAACAAGAATAATATTCAATTTTAGGCATCTTACAAGTGGCAATCCTGATGGTGGCAGATCTTTAAGGTGCAGTGATAGTTAACAGGAAGTGACAAAACAAAAAGTTTCAAAACCATGCTGGATTTTGACAATTTTTTAAACCAAGATAACAAAGTTCTGTTTTGACCTCCAGTCAGTTTAACTAGTACCGCATATCATTTACATGACCAGGACCACAATGGAAATGCTCAGAATGAACCTAAACATGATGAAATAACCTTTCAGCCCTATGAAAATATGACTGAAAAATAGTTAAAAGTAGGCGCTTAGGAACATCATTGGAACAAAATGACATAAACACATGCGTTTTGTAGTGTAACTGTACAAAGGAAAGTTTGGTTGATTGTAAAAAAGTATCTGAAATAAAAAGTTTATCTTAATTTTTATCATTTTGGGGGGTTTTGTTTTAAGTTTTTGCATACTTTTTATTAAATCAACCAAAATTTCCTTTGTATAACTATAATATTGAGAGGTCGAAGAAAATGTTGTATATGCTATTTTGTTCCAACAAGGTTCTGAAAAAGACATTTTATTTCATTCCCAAGAATTGGTAGAAAGGAACAAAAAACAATTGCACTAAAAAAAACAAAAAAATGTTAACAAAAGTAGTTATATAAAATATATCTAAATAATTTTTGCACTAAATTGTTGCCAGTCAGTCAACATTATATAAAGGACTGTGTTTTTTTACAAAATGTTTTCAATAATTGGTTTAAAAGAAAAACATTGTTGAATTCAGTTCACCTTATTGATACCTATCCTTTGAGAAAATTGTCTGAAACAAAAACGACGGTCATAAAAAGGAAACTAGATTGCTTTTCAATGAAGTTTTTTTTTTCTATGAATAACATCAAATTTTCAAAATTGTATCATTTAGAGCAGTATATTGGGCACATTTTCTGAAAAATTCAAAAGATTCTGTTCAGTGACCTTTCCTTTAAGCGCCTACTTTTAGCTATTTTTCAGTCACATTTTCAGAGGGCTGAAAAAGTTATTTCATCATGTTTAGGGTCATTTTGACCATGTACATTGTGATCCTGGTCATGCAAATAACAGGTGGAACTAATTAAACTGACTGGAGGTCAAAACAGAACTCTGTTATCTTGGTTCAAAATTTTTTCAAAATCCAGCATGGTTTTGTCACTTTTTGTTTTGTCACTTCCTGTTAACTACCACCACACCTTAAGTAAACAAGAATAATATTCAATTTTAGGGATCTTACAATCATTTTTATTACTGCAATAATAGGATCACCATGCATGCGAGTCTAAGGGGCCTTGAGCATTGTCAACTATGACTAAGATTGAAGAAGAAAGGATGTTCTTTCGTGTCATACCCTCATCGTAAGTTGAATTTATCATTTGAAATTGTCAGTAGTTTTTTCTGAGTACCCGTGTGATGATAAGACCATTTCCCCTACTGACAATGTTTTTCAACCACAAGATTTCATTACACGAGTAGGGCTAGAGTCTATTTCAGAAATCAAGCCCATATTTATGGGATATAAACCATGAGCTTTCAACTAGATTGAAAGCCCATGTATAAAGAGGCTATGGAAAGGGTTCGGGCGTGCAGCGTTTTAGTGGATTTTGATTAAACGAGAAACGTGAAATGCAAGTCCTGCAGGTCTGTGCAGACGTTCATGAAGTTAATCCCGTGCATCGTGAAGTCAATAAACATTTCCTCGTGCATCGTATTTTGAATTATGAGACCTCCGTGGTGCCGTTCAGTCTCGTTATTTTGTGCTACGTTTTAAGAATAAATGAAACTTCATTCAGCGAAAATACATTTGATCCTACGTTCACTTTTGTGATACATCTTATTTGTCGACTTTGTAAACTCAAATGTAATTAGTTCCTATTTCTAAACTCTTTTGTTTTTAGCCAATCAGAACACCAGTTACAAATCGCGACAAAGATTAACATAAGAGAGGTGTAATACCATCGGGATATTAATATTTTAATTTCTTTTCTTCTATTTTGATTGGTCGAGAATAACGACTTATTAGAAATTCAACCAATAGCAAGCCAATCCGGCGAATACAAAGATCGACCTGATATACTGAGATATCTGGACTATGAGACCATCGTCTGGACTTTGCAAGTCTTACAAGCAAAATGGAGAGTGATTTCGACAAGCAAAATGGAGAGAGATTTCGCTGAGTCTGTGTTTCACCATTGGACAGTTTAGCGATTTATTTAACACCCCTGAAACGTGAATATAATGATATTTGATCTTCGTGAAACGTGAATGCATGGGCTTTCAACTTATTGAAAGCCCATGGTGAATGTAATCTTTTGATGATCAAAGGCGTGAAACATGAAAGTAATTCTGATGAGTAACGTGTGACGTGAAAACGTATTACCACCTGACGTGATTACGTGACAAAACCCCCTTTCCATAGGTTCTATAAACATAGGCAAAAGAGTGGACTGGAACTGGAACTTGGAAGTGAACATCAAATAGATTCTAATCAATTTTCAGAATAATTTTTGACTGGCGAGAAAGAAACGCCATGCACTGAACATTGTAATTTAGATGATTTAACACAAAGTGACAAAGTTCAAAAATTGCATAAAACCACAGTCAGAGAGAATGTTTCTGGCGAAATTCTGGGACTTCAAATAGGGCAATTCGAAGAACGTATTAGATGTCCGTGCATAAAACGTATATGGATCTAGAATTCTTGGAAATGTATAATTACCACTGCAATACAATAAATAGTTATACTACCTTTTCCAAAATTTGGTTGGATTTTTCCAAAGTAGACAATATTCCCGAATGAATATGAAAGCGCAAATCTGATTGGTCCCATTGAGCACTAGAAGAATGAGCACCATCTATATACCACAAAACTTTGGGTCACGTCAACCCGAATTGTACTTCCGGGTCGTGAAACATCATAACAAGAAGCATTGAAGTAGAGAGAAAGGTGCAAAATATGCTCCCGACAAAGCATTAAAAGTATGCTATAGTACTGATATTCCAACTGTCAAAGTGACACAGGCTAATGGATAACATGACAAGGATCGTTTTGGAGTATCAAACATCAAAATCTGCAAACCTTGACTGAAGAAATTTGCGTTCAAAAAGTTCTGAAAAGTTTTAAATTTCTATTAAATCATGGCGGATGATAGCCAGTCATTGCGATCTTCGTCGTCGTTCGGTGCGCATGATGGTCGAAAGGAAAAATACCACGAGGGATGGCTAGAACATAAACCACAGAATAAGGTGATTAATAATATCCATTTAGACTTCTGTCGTGACAATTACCCTTTTTATTTTGAAATTTAAACCTAGTTTAGCCATGGGCTCTACCTAGGGGGGGGGGGCAGACTATATCCTATTTAGTCAGTCTGTTGGATACATACTAGGGGGGGGGAGGCGTGTGACGATAACTGTGAGCGAATTAAAAAAAGATTCAAATTTTGTAAAAAGCAATGAGGCAAAACACAACCCCGTCTAGATCCGCTGGTGGCTAGTTATCACACTTTCATCTTGAAGCTCTTGTAACTTTGCTACCTTCCGATTATGGTTCCTTTACACCAGGTACTTGCATAGACAGAGTTTAAACGAGACTTAATCTTGCCCTTTGTATTAATGATTTTATGTGGAATCTTCAGGGTGGACCTGAAAAATCAAAGAGGGGGAGAAAATATTGGGCCCCAATTTTGAAATTTTTGGGCCAATTTTAAAATTAAAAAATAATTCCCACTTAGCGAGTTTATTGGCCTTTATATTTATGTGGGGAGAAGTAGATTTTTGGCTATAAAACATTTTTGGGAGTCATTTTTTTCGGCGGTCCACCAGAAGGTTGGGGGGGCTAAGCTGACCTAAGAATTGGTTAACTATTGTTTTTGTCTGTTGTACAGTCATGTATTGTTAAAGGAATATTCCTTGCCAGACCCTTTCTCTCTTTATATGGTAGCTATAATCATATATATATAGTTTCCATATTTAGCAAAACATGGGAAAATGTTTAAATATGGTCAATATTGATCATTTAAAAATCTAGTACTTATTTCCAGTGAGCTGCCATCTTTTAAGATTTCTTGCAGGAAGTGATGTCATCAACTCTCAACTTCTATAACCTTGCCCATAACAGTATAGGAAAGTAGCACAAAATCACTTCTAGACAAGTGATCATTACTTTCTGTGCAAAAATATTTTCAGGGCTTGTCAACTTAGAATAAAAGAAGAGATTTTCAGAAGGATTAAATAAGATACAAAGTTGAAAAAGAATATTTAGTTGGTTTTGTAATTCTTAATAGCTCCTCGCCTAATGCTATATGCAAAGTTGAGAGTCGATGACATCACTTCCTGTGTGAAATTTTAAAAGATGGCAGCTTACTGGAATTTAGCATCACATTTCTAAGTGATCAAATTTGACCATATCAAAACATTTTTTGCGTGTTTTGCTAAACATGGCAAGCATATATATGGTTATAGCTACCATATGAGGAGAGAGATGGTTTGGCAAGGAATACTCCTTTAATTATATATAACGAACTGCATCAATAATGTATTAATGAAATAGACTAGATGCGAGTAGAAATCATCTTGATTTACCTCATTAAAATTCAAAATCCAACCGAACTGACGTCATATTTGGAATCTACATGTAAAACTACATCTAGAAATGTGGTTTGGAAAAGAGTTTATCAACTTTGAAAATTTTAGTTAATTTGAAAATGTGACTTCTAGGTCGGGAGATTCCCCATAGTATAATCTCTTGAGATGTAAAATCACAAAAAGTAAAATATCTTTTCTTGTGTTGGGCAGATAGTATTTTCTTTTAATGGACATTATAACTATCAGATACATAAGGGTAATATGAAAAGTGAACCACTAAAACTGATGATTATTCAAGTTTAAGGGAACTTTGTAATACCCTGCCATGTTATTTCCCCCGAATTAGCCACCTGGTGGTGAAACTGGTAACTACCTACTCGCATCTGAGTAATTGACATTGAATCCATCCAAATTGTATATTTTATGTAAATTAAGATCTTATTTTTTAAAAGTGTGATTCTAAAAAATATGCGTCAGAGCTGAACACTTGCCAAATCATTGCTCTTATGTTAAAGTTGGGGCCATTTTTTGCCACTGTATAAACATCTCAAGAAGTGATTTGAAATATTCTACTGAATAAAATTATGTGCTGTAACCTATAAATGAAATTCTCAAAACTATTCCCATATGAAACAAAAATAACATTGTACACAATGTTTTTAAATTATATGTGAGTAGATTGACATTATAGAATTTATTTTACCTGAAGGGTATAGCTGGATGGGTGAACATGTAATATTTATCATGATCATACTCCGTTTCAGCACAACACCCTTACAGTAAGATGCTCATTACTAGTCTATGACACCACAGGATGGATGCAAATAATTTTAGCGGTGACTTGTCATAAAAACAAGGTTGCCATACAAATAACCATTAACCCTTTCCTAAACAAAATCTTTGTAGCATGCATTGATTAGATATTTGTTGGTGCGCAGTCTACTAGATACCCTGAAACACCCAAGTTGTACTAACTACAGAATATTGTAGATTTTGTTGAATTCATTGTTTTAAAACCAAACAGACCTTTGCTTATTATGTCACCACCACAAGTAGTGACATATTGTTATAGTCTCCAACTTTTTGATAGACAATGTTTGGCATACAACATCTGGAACAAATGGCAGGTGGTGACACTTCATATGTTTAGATATAACTTCACTGTCTATTGCGCTGTCAGTTCACACATCTCTAATATAAAAATGATGAAATGCAACGTGGCGCAATTGGTTAAAGAGCTGGGTTTGGACGGGTGTTAAAAGTTTTTAAACCTCGAGAGAGTGAAATTCGAAACCTGACAGAATCCATTTCTTCATTTTTAACCATCCATAATATATTTTCTTGATCTCTTTTCTTGTGTTAAATTAAAATATTTTCCTATAAATAACCAAACAGTCAATCTTTCTAATTTTCACATATTTTGTTATGCATTAGTGCATCTTTCACCTAGATTTTTTTCAAGAAAATCTGAATTGTAGGAAAAAAGTCGATCGACAGTGATTATGATCTATAGTTAACAAAATTATACATGTATATACATGTACAATGATTCAAAAATATTTGTGTTTAGTTTTGTATGATTTATACTTTCAGAATCAATGGACAAAATACTGGGTTGTCTTAAAAGGAGATCAAATATTCATCTTCAAGAACAAGTCTACTCAGAACCCAGATAACGTAAGTACAATCAAGCAAAATTGGCAAATCTTATGATTCTGTTATTCTCTGGCGAATCAAATATTGAGTGGTCAGTTCTGACACACCCCTCAACTTGATCAGCCAATCAACAAGGTTAGATATATCTCGAGACAAGCACACAAGGCAATATTTTCATTTCTATGTCATTTCTAAATGAAACGCCACCATTTTTACACTTCAGAATTTCTATTGTGACTGTCTAATCTAATAAAATATTTTAAAACAACCAAGAAGTGATTTTTTGTATTGCTTTTATGAATTTATAGCCAGTTATGTTGTCAGGCAATAATGACAACCATATTTTGGTTGTAACTTTAAACGCACTGCATGAACTATTGCCTTTGGATTAGAAAGGAGTCTCTGGTCATGCAGTCATCCTTGAATTAGTTCTAAACTGATAATATAATATATAGGCCATGTCATTCTGATACAAATCACATCTTTCTGAAAACAATGGAAAGTAAAAGTCAATTTGGAGAAGGTTTTAAGGTTTACTTAAGGTTTTCCCCGTCTACCTTATGTAAATATGTATAATGTGATCATGTAGTCATGTATGACTTGGAAAACCGGTTTATGGGTTTGATGAATAGATACTTGCAAATACAGTAACACCTGTATATCCGAACACCTCTCTAATCTGAACACATCTCAATGTGAACACTTTTTCTTGATCCCAAATTTGTTATCATCTCCCATTGATTTGCATGTTTAAAAACCTTGAAATGTGATCACTTGCTAATCCGAAAACTTTTGGCCAGTCCCAGAGACAGGTTCTATTGTATAGTACTTAGGTATATGTTTTTGGAACAATATTTACATATGCATTTAATAACTTGAATTAAAACATGATATTTTACCATCTAATAGGGAGCAAGTTAATTTTTTCCAGAATGTCTCCTGTCGGATTGATGAAGGTCAGCAAAATAAAATGGACTTTAATCCCCCTATATAGTAGCCTGGCCAAAACAAGTCATGCCTCTCTATTTTCTCAATAACTTTCGCAATTTTGAATATTTTTTCATGAAATTTTCACAGTATAAACTTTAAAGAATTCCTAACATACAATTTTTTTTATATGGTAAATGCCTCATTAATTTCATTGTTACAACCTTTTAAAAATAATGTCATATTCTGTTGATGGGTCATTTTTGTTGCCATTTTTTCTAAAAAGATACGAAAAATCTCCTATTACGTTTTGTCCTAATATGGTCTACAAATTTGATTGCAGTCTTTGATAGGGGATCATTTATCTTTTTAAGTGTTCTAAATCCACCATACTATTTCAAGACCTCATGATCTCAAGCCTCTGTACTGCTCGTCCCATAAAAGGCATTACTACTCGCCGATTTCATACATGATGGAGATAAAAGATGCTTTCAAATGGCGACAAAAATGACCCATCAACAGAATATGACATTATTTTTTAAAAGGTTGTAACAATGAAATTAATGAGTCAATCACCATATAAAAAATTTTGTATGTTAGGAATTCTTTAAAGTTTATTCTGTGAAAATTTCATGAAAAAATATTCAAAATTGAGAAAGTTATTGAGAAAATAGAGAGGCATGACTTGTTCTGGCCAGGCTACTATAATTATTGACATTAAACAAAATAATCTTAATAAAATACTTGTAGACAATTTTGTAGAAAATTTAAACTTTTTCTTAGCTATCAAGGTAACATTTGGCTTAACATCTTCTTTGACATACCTATTTTCTTAAGATGTGTAAATTCAGTTCAAGGCTTCAAAAAGGGGAAATCTATGTTTATATTTTTAAGATCCACCATGTTTCAAGAGGAATATCAGCTGAAATAATGTTTATCTAGGGGTTTCTTTGTAGATAATAAAAGTAGATGTAAGTTTTGATGTTTAAAATAACATAAATATATTTTGACACTGGTCCATGATCGTTGCACTAGTTGCACCTTTAAGTTATGTATGTTTCACTTAATAATATAATGCTCAGCCCCAGGTGTTATAAGGCTCAAACTGACATGCTGTTACACTCATTTAACATCATGCGTCATGCGTAATATAAGACAATAAATACAACATAATCTCAATTTTATGCAATTATGACTTTATATTACAATTAAACTGTGTCAGGTTAACCTGTCCTTTGTTTCTTCATGAAAAGTTTTTATACTTTTACATGTTCAGTGATTATTGACAGAGCAACCCTTGTAGTTAGAGAATTGTTATTTCTAAATGTACATACACTTTTAGATAAGGTTTCTTCTTAAACTACATTGAAAACTTGATGCTTATATGCATGGCATCATCTAATAATATAACATGAAAATAAGTACAGGGGGTTTTTATCATCATAAATATATTTTGTGAACACAGATAAAATGAAATGTTTTGTAAGGACAGAGATAAATATCAAAGTCCCTTTATTTTTAACTGGTCATTTGCGTCCATTTAACCACCAAAATATGCAGTTTTAAAGTGTTACACTATTTTAAGCAACTCCTTATAGGTTGCTCCTATTTTGCTGCTGAATCTTTTTATTTAAATGTAGCAATGATACTTCGATACCATTGTCCACAGGGTGGGCCAAAAAACTTTTAAGGATGAATGTCATATGATATAACGTTAAACCATGCCATGTATTGTATATCATTTTAAAGATAAATCATTTCCTAACAATATGACACCATCTGATTGAAAAACCGTTGTTTTCTCGTGGAGTTTGAGGCTAAAATTGTGAGCAACCAAAAAAGTATTCACTGCATATTTCCAAATTTTGGAAAATTGAGAGAAATTTGAACTTTGGCACCTTCAAAAGATGTTAGACAAGTATAGTGCTATATGATGATTCAGTCAATCATATTGAGTGCAGCTGTGACTACGATATGGAGCGAAATATGGAAAACTGAATTAAACAATGTTTTTCTCTTAAACCAATTTATGAAAACACTCCGTAAAAAACATGGTTCTCTATCACTGGGGAGTATCGTGATGCAACAACACCGTGTTGTTGCATCAAGATGGCCAGACTTCCGGTGATAGATTTTCGTACGATATTTTGTTTCCCCAATTAAACCCATTTCTAGGACGAGTTGCTCAATAACCATACACATGCAGTTAGCGTACGATCTATATTTAAAGAAACTGTCATTAGTATACATGTACCATCACCAAGAAGCAATAAGTTCACGGTTTTAGTTCCTCACTATTGATGCAACAACACCAAACCGAAGATGCAACAACACCCCTCTAGATTTGAGCAATGATGCAGCAACACCAATTAATAGTATAATTTCAGAAGACCATAAATCTCGAGAGGAACAGATTTTTAAATGCTACTATTGCAACACCGTTACCCATTACCCATATTTGCGTTCTTCTCAAGGCATTCAAAATACACGTCCTGCGGGCGAAGATCCTTTATATGTATTTCCCAAAATTTATAGTTTTAAATATTATAATGTACTGGACGCTGTTCTATAACATAGTCCAATCGCCTTTAACATGGCAAGCTTTAGTAACCCAATCTATTTTCATAAACCACTGTTCGATAGCTTGATGACCCTGACTCCAGTTAGTATCATTCAAAATGGTGGACAAACATCTTTCGTTCTCGGTAAACATGATGAGCTATTGGAAATTATCTGTCATCCATCTGTGGAACAGTGATGAACTAGTAGATGTACGTTACCACTGTTTATCAAATTATAACTAAAACAGTTTAACTGTGACATTCGTGAGCTTATGTTGATGGGATGATTGCTTCATCTATGATATAATATGATATGATTCTTTATCTCCTCCAATTTGGAGAGCCAACGTGTAAAAACGTCTAATTGACTTTATTAGAGAGGCCGTTTAGTTACACGTTTAATGGAAATCTTGCACGACGCACGTGTACAATTATTGCTCTCTTTGGATTCCTTCTCTCCGACTGAGTAAAAAGGTAAACAAAAGTGATAAGATTAAGGGCCCAAAAAGGTAAATTGATAGGGGTACAGTTATCCCAGATATCCCGGGCCCTCGGGAAATATCATATTGTCTCTCGGAATAAAACCAATATTGAATCCCTCTCAGTCAATAACCTTTATATAATAGCATAACTGCAATATCATTAAACCAACACTCTTCCTACACAACTCTTGAGAACGATGTACAACTCCTGGATAGCGTAAACTCCTGAGCAGCGTATACACTTCTTCAACTTGATACATGACATCATACTTTGGGTGGGATAACAAAGGATATACAATATACAATTGAGGTCAACTGGCAAAACTGTATACCAATACTGTAATCCTTGAAAGTTCGGAGGTCGAGGTCAACAGTACTCTCAGGGTTTACTGTTGAGGTATACACTTTGGCCAGTTAACCGAATAGAGAGGTTGACAATTGTTTGTTAGTCCGAAGAATATCATAATTTGAAGGATATAAATTATACAATTGTAGACCTCTCTTAAGGTCAACTGGCAAAATTGTATACCGATACTGTAAACCTTGAAAGTACTGTTGATCAAGACCAGAGGTCGAGGACACTTTTGCCAGTTGACCGAAAAGAGAGGTTAACAATTGTTCTGTTAGTCCAAATAATATAATAATTGGACGAATATATAATCGAATGTCACGTGAACATATTTGATAAGTAAAGGTATCTCCAAGCCGTCGAATACTTGTAATTTTTTACACAAGTTATTTTTTCAAAATTAAAAAAAATTCAACATTAAAAAAACAAATTTTCAAAAATAGGGGTCAACAGTACCTAGTAGTGGTCAACAGTTTACAATTGTTGACCTCCCCAGAGGTCAACCGGCAAAATTGTATACCGAGACTGTATACGAAAAACTACTGTTGACAGAGACCGAAGGTCGAGGTTTACAGTCGAGGTATATGATTTTGACGGTTGATCGAATGGAGAGGTCTACAATTGTTTTGTTAGTCTGAGTAAACTAATAATACACACATAGACGACAATCATTAATCGGCATGGCTTCATTTCACAACCTTT